CTTTTCCAAAAAACAAACTCCAGTGAAAGAAGACTATTTAAAGAACTTCTTTCTGACGAAAAAAGCGATGGGTGCATATTAAGTTTTTACTCAAAAATAAGTAAGTAACACATAGAGGGTAACACATAACAGTTAAAAACTGACGAACCAGTGGCCCTCTATCCTAAGTTAAAAGTTAAAAACTATTTACACTTGTAAGATAGTAAAAAAAGTGAAGTGAATCCTAATCCTGATTTGTTCTGATTGGCTACTTGAGTGAGCAAGATGAGACCATCTTGCTTACTTGGGATTAATATTGCCTGCATGATTTTGAAAAAAGGTGCATGGAGCAGACTTTCAAAGTTTGTAGCTTTTGGAAAATGTTGGCAAGGAAGTCGCAAAAAGCTGCAGAAGGCAGTCAAAAATAAAGAAAGTTTCAAATACTCTCGTGGGTTTTTTATATGCTACAAACGCAGTAGCTTTCTTTCCAGACTCTCTAAAAGCAGGTCACCCTTTATTCTTATTAAACAAAATCTTTTTGCTACATTATAAGTCCTTTATTGACCAAGCCTGTATGGTCAAGATGCCTGGATACTAGCTTTGTTCTTTTTTTTTTTTTTTGCATTTTAAGGACCTTATCAACTTCATCTGGGACTACAAAAATGGGAAAAAAAGAACATAGCCAACACTCAACCATCTTGACCTCATGCTTGGTCAATAACACCTATTTCTTGATTTACATTTTAATCGAAGCTTCAAAATAAAACTTTAAAATAAAGTGCCTTATTTTATTAATAGTTTAATCTGTGATTATCTTTCTTAGTCCGAGACAAGTGGGATATCAGGAAGTGATCCAGAAGATCATGGTTACGAGGTTGTTATTAGACCTGATATAAGTCCTTTGCAGGTGATTTAAATTTGTCTTTAGTTGTAATGGTTTATTACTGCAAGTGATTTCATCATCTGATAGAATTTTGTCCATTGGGTGATTGGTATGACCTACATGTCAATCCAAAAGACTCTGAGGAAGTTAATTTTAAAGTTCATATTTATAAACTTTAAAGAGACTGATATTAGCAGATCAGTGGTGGTTTAGCGTGGTCTGTACTCTTATCTACAAGCAGGATATTCATCATTACGGTGTTCAAAATGTTGTGGACTCACAAGGCACAGCCAAGTGTCAGTCCACAACAGTCCATTTGTTCTTTACCAAAACATAGATGTTTTAACATTTAAAAATGAAACAATTTTTTCTGTGCATGTTGCACGACAAGTTGCATGACAAGTTGACATGAGCAGCATTGTCCATACTCATCAACAACTGCAGATTGCCCAATCAGATTGTGACATTTCTGCTAATTGTCAGAGTGGTTAAAAAAATTTAGTTACAAAAATAAATTCATATTTGTAAAAATAACACCATATAATCTCTGTTTTAGAACAAATTAAAATGACTAAGTAATATTGTCCCATAATTGTTGTAAAAAAAGTAATAGTTACAGAAAAAATGTAATCTAACTTGTTTAATTTTACATATACAACATAATCATACAGTATTGAATTTCATTGAATGATGACCCCTGGCTATATAATACACACCCTGTCCCACCCCCCAAATAAGCACCCTTCCCCCTTGTCCACAAAATTATACAGGCATCCTTCTTGAATTTATATCTCCCCCCTCCTCCCATGCCATACACTCAAGGAAAACCTGTTTTGATTGCCACCTATTTATTTAGAACTTTAAAGGTTTAATTATAGCAGTCAATCAGTCACAGTATGATAAGCACCCCCTTTGAAAAAGTACTCTCTTTCTAATCAAAATGCCCCTTCTTTTTACTGAAATTTC